AGGGTCCCTTTAACGGTTCAGGCCTCGATGCATTATGCAAGCACTTGAAATCCTCTGAAAACGGGATCTGATAATTAACGCTCGTACTTATGGGGGTGGTCGAACGAGCCCCCTCTCCTTTTTTATCGAATAACTCGCGTAAAAAGTGGCTTGTCGCCACCATACTTTCAGTACCTCCGAGTTGATTTTACACATGCTCTAACAATTGTATGACCTTGAAATAAATGATCTTTGACCTGTGACCTGTTTCTCAAGACCATGACAGGCCGGAATCGCCATTCAGCGAATGTCAGCGAATATTATCTCTGCGTCGTTTGCAGTCTTTTTATGGTCGTAAAGTTCTAACATGTGAAAAGATAGTTGTCAAATGCATTTCAGTGGGTGTCGAGGTCACGTGAAATTTAGGTCAGGATCAATGACTTTAGATGACATTGGTTCACTTTTCGGGTTTTACATGTTCCCCGGGTAGTTTTGGGACCTGATTTCGAATCGAATACCCATTTGAGCAGTTAGAAGTTAGTTTTGGTGCCTACGTGACATGTTACGAAGCTTAGTGGATGGTTGACAGTTGGGGCATTCCACGATAGATCGTACCACTTTTTTCCAATTTGACACCCTCATCTCTCGGATTTTAACGATAATTGGCCTAAGGGGTAATCAGGGGCTCTGAATCCTCCTGTAACAATTTCAGGCTCATCAGATGAGTGGTTTTTGAGTTATAGTGTATAACATGTTTTGGATCTTGCGTTGCAGCCCCAAGTTTGGCGGGCTGTAACTCTAAGACGGATAATCCAAATACCAAATGCTATACGGCATTGAACTTGCATTGAAACAAAGAATAATATGCATTTTTAAGATTTTGAAATATTTACTATTTTTGATGTATAACACCTCGAGTTTCCTTTCATTTGCATCTTTATGCCTTTGGGACCAAATTTTTTTGAATTTTTATTTACTTAAAAACATTTTTGGATCATTTTTAAGTAGTATGCAAAAAATTAGGAAGGTGTTCTTTCTATAAATGTACTTATTTTGCGTCACCGTAATGGTCTCGAATTGTGATTCCGAAAGAGAGCCTACAAATGGGGTGGTAAAGCTGCCTAGTGACATCACTGGTTACTGAAAGTTCAATTGAAGTCATTTTTGTCTCACTTTTGCATTGTTGACCTTGCGTGACGTCATTCGTACGTCACTAGGGTCATAAGAGTTTTTCGTCAATAACTCACGATCAAATTGAGCTAGAGAGACGGGAAGGCTACCAATGGACTCGGGAAGACCTTGCGAATCGAATGATGTGCAAAATGATCTCATTCACCCAGCTTCGTGGCCTGACCCGACTGTTAACCATCTCTGTAGCGGCGCTGTTTGTCCAGCGCCGCGCTGGTTGGCTTTGCCGCGGACTCGGGGCGGTCACGTGATGCCCGGGGGCTGGCTGCCGGCTGGGCCGCCCGGTCGGGGCGCGGAGCCAAATACACGGCAGTGTGCTTACCCGAGGTCAGCGACTTAAGCTGACTTCACCAGAACAAACAGTATACTATTCGACGCGCCGGAGCTAGGCAAACACAAAGATGCTAAAATCGCGGCTCTGCGACCATTTGTTGCGAAGTTATCTATCAAAAACCGGACCCGTAATTTTGGGTCACTTGAAATGACCTCAGGGGTCACCAATGAACCCGAGACCTTAAAATATGGTTTCATTCGATGCATCTTGTAACGGCGCACATGCTCGTTTTTTCCGCAAGGTTCTAGCTCCATTAGAGGCGAAACGGCGAGGTGGGGTCGTACCGACCCCCCGGAAACCCATTTTGTATACATTTAAATGAGGAACTTATAGAAAGAACACCTTTCTAATTTTTTGCATGTCGATTTTAAAGGACCTGAGGTTTATTTTGAAGAAATAAAAATGGCAAAAATTTTGGTCCCAAGGGCCATTATAGACAATTTAAAAAAATACTACGACTTTTTTCAATATGTAAAGCTTTTCTTTCCAATTTTAAAAATACTGTATTTATCTTTGATTCATCGTTAGTTCAAAGCTGTTTACCGTTTGTTGCTCGCTTGGCTCGTTTTTGAGTTATAGCTCATCAAAATCACCCTTACAATCTGAAGTTTAGAAAATATTATGCAATGTAACTCAAAAAGTTTTAATCTGAGAAGTCTGATATTTTGGCAGGTGTTTTTGGAGCCTATGATTACCCCTTGTACCAATTTTCATTCAAATCTGAGAGATGAGGGTGACGGGCCTGGTACGATCTATCGTGGAATGCCCCAGTTGACACCCGCTATAGATAGCCGGTAGAACGCCGACTGGCGGACCTGACCTGACCTGACCAGACCCGACCTATCCCCAAATGCCTGAATGCATAATCTTCGATGACAACTAACATGAAGTTTGTAATCAGAACACCCCCCCCCCAAAAAAAAAAAAAACATACAAAGTACAAATCTCACTTCACGAATTCTAGCAGGTCCAGATTTTCCCGACTTTTGAGTCATTGACCTGACCTGGGTGGTCAACCAAAGATTTGGGGCATTAAAATTGGGTACCTATCACTGGCTTCCTTTCGTCACAGACAACATGCTCGTTTTTTCTGCGAAGTCTATAGCTCTATCAAGGGTCAAACGGCTGAGGGATCCGTAGGACTCCCCCATACGTTAGACGCTGTAAGAGGGCCAATACGCATTTTCACACATGGCACATGCAATTTCACCATTCTACAACGCACACCGGAAGTTCGAAGTTGCATCTCTCCGTTCTACTTCGTTCTTGTTTAATAAATTTATCAAACTATATTGAGTTTTTGTTATCCCCTACTGCCGCGCTCGTCGGTAGCTATGACGGGAGCTGGCCCATTGTCACCGCCTTTGAGCTATCGGGACTGGTCGGCGGTTGTTGGATCGGCGCGCGCGGCCCTGCCCCTGACCTGCCTGGGGCCGGGGTGGGGGTGGGACCGAGTGTCCTTGTGCCGGTCGCCAGGGTCGGTGCCCGCATCGCCCACGCCGGAGATTGGGCGGGGCCGCGCCCATCGTCTCCGTCTAATCACGCGGAACACTCTGATGCGAATATGCATCATCCAATCAGGGCGGGCCGGACGCGGCGCCACTGTTTTGGTCAGCAGCGCGGCGAGTCGGGCCGGCGCGGCGCGCGATCGGCCAGCCCCGGCTGCTGATTTGGGAGCCGGCCAGGCGACTCGGCACCGGCCGGTTAGCGAGCGCGGAGAGCAGCGATATATCAGACACAGAAAGGCCCTCTGGCCGGTTAGCGAACGGGGAACACCGATATCAGACCGGAAGACACTCTGAAGGCTCAGTGAATATTGGATAGTGCTTCTCGCACTTTTGTTTGATAAGTTTATTCCAAGATTTTTGAATAAATTAACTTGGTGCTTCAAATAACTTTTCATGCTTTAAACACCTATTCAGCCATTAGTTATAAGTATCCTACCTATTGGTCCACAAATTCACTGTGGATCACCCTCCACCCTGGGCACCGGCGCATTTTGAAAATTACGATTCGCACAGGATGAGAGATGAGGCCTTGTCAACCCTGTTATACGAGACACATCTTGCATTCCGCGAACCAAGGGGGTGCGTGCATCCAATACAGGTGTAATAAGATGGTGTGGTGACCGCTCCAGATCTGACTGTAATGGGACACTGGGAGTGTTTCGGCGGCCAGGTACAGGGCCGGGGCAGCCGCCGAAGGAGGGCTCGGTGGGCCGGCCGAGACGGGTCGGAATGACGAGGGCCGGATGGGTGCCGGGTCAGGCTGCCATGTTTGTCGGGCGCCGGTTGACGGATGAGCCGTCACTGTTGGCGGCCGTCGGGCCCGGCCCGGTCGAGTCATCAGCCGGCCGGCCTGCCAGTCATGACGGGCCGGTGAGCCGCGGGAGGCCCTGTCGCACTTATCGGCAGCCTGCGCCGCGCGGCGCGGCTCTGTGGTCACCACGGCGGCGCCGTGATGTCAGCACAGCCACAGACTGAGCCCTGTTGACAGTCCGGAAACGGCACTGACTGACCATCACTACCGCCAGACGCAGTGAGCTGCTTACCTGGCGAGTCCTATGAGATTATCACTCGTGTGGGTGAGAGTATGGGCCATCAATCTAAACCAAGGAAAACAAACTCCCTGGGTCATCCTTCGGACAGGACATTCATGGATATTGATGCCATTTCTCAGCCTCTCACTCTCAGGCCAGCCAGGGTTTATTGTTGTTCTTTTTTATATTGCGTTTAAATGTGAATATAACTAAGAAACAAAGCAATATTGTATCATTAGGTATAAACACCTGTTACTTTTAATAAGTGCGACCGTAAGGATTCGATCTATTCAAAACGGCCTGCAGTTTCTTTTTTTCAAGTTTTGAGATGAGATAGGCCATCAAGAAACCCATTACTGACAAGTGGAAAGCAGCTTTTCGTATTTTGAGCATGCGATGCACTACATCAATAAAATGTGGCGAGTACCTACCTAATGACTAAAAACATTCGTGAAGCATGGGTTGGCACTGGTCACCTCAAGCAAATAACACCCCGTGTTATATGTCCTATGAAAACTTGCCTTAAATTAAACTCGCATGTATTTTTAGATGTCTCATTATTATGAGTAAATCAGCATTGTCCACCTCTAGTCACGCCGGTCCCGTAGCTCAGTCAATACAGCGGCGGACTCCGCATGGTGCGAGCACGCGTCCCGATTCTAACAGTCCGGGTTCGAAGCGCGACGGTCGCTCGATGTTTATGAGCCTCCTAACGGGCGTGGTTGCGGTTGATGTCAGGCTGTAGCCAGGCGAAGTCAGTGAGGGACCGGCCGTGCGCGGCTATGTGCCCACGTTAAACTTCGGAGTCGGACTCCGAATTCTGCCATAGATCAGGAATTGCGCGACCGGAGGGTGGAGGGCAGAGCCAACGCAACAAGCTCGGCTTAGCGGGGGCTCTGTCCTTGTGAATCCTTCCATTCAAAAGGTTAGGACTGAATTAATGTAAAAAAAAAATCTACATAATCATACACTGTATTTTCAGTGAACAATCATACGAATTCGTATGCAACATGTTTCACTCCAAAAGCGCATCACAGCAATGGCAAGTTCGGCACAAGATCACGATAAGACTAAATATTTGTCATCGCATATACATCACTGGGCGCCAGTATCTGAAAGTACGTCACAACGCAGGCGTACCAGTACCACATCACGGTCATCCCGACCAGTCCCGGTATCCAGATCACCAGATTGGCGACCACCGCCTGGGTCGTGCCGAGTCCATTCCAGGCGAAACACATCCACAGCGCCCAGGCGGCCGCGGCCAGCCACGCCAGGGTGACCAGAGCCTTGAAAACGCCGTACCAGATCACCCACGGAAAGAGAAATTTGCGCCTGTTGTGACGAAGGCCGTGGATGAGTAGACTGTTTGTTACAATGTTAGGGACACACACCACCAGCAGGCCGAAGTAGATGTACAGCAGGTCCCAATAGTAGTCGAAACGCATGGCGATGGCGCGCTCTATGAGAAAGGCCGTCCAGGCGAGGAGCACCAGGCAGCTGAGGCTGAGGTAGGTGATGCCGATGGCCAGGGAGCCGGTGCGCAGCGACAAGCACCCGCAGCAGAGAGTGAGGACCATGGTGGCCTGCTGGCTGATGGACGCAGTGCCCCTGCCTGCGGTACCGTACCCTCAGCGGGGCGCGCTCCCTCAGACTGCGCCCTCAGCGGGGCACGGTCCCTCAGACTGCGCCCTCAGCGGGGCACGGTCCCTCAGACTGCGCCCTCAACGGGGCCCGGTCCCTCAGACAGACTGTGGTCTGGCAGCGACGGTGGTGCTCCAGACCTCGTACTTATGTATTGCCGGCGTCTTTCACTGAAATGAGGAGTGAAAAAGGCGCTTGAATAAAAAATCGGGTCTATTGTTGTTATACTTGCGCGGGGACAGCACACTGCGGTGCAGTATCACCCCAGGCGCCGTCCGTGGGCGGACCGTTCAGCAGAAGGCCGTATAACCGCCCACCAAGGCGCGCGCCGTATAGGAATTACTGTTGGATGCGTCCTTACTCAACTATATCTCCGAAATATAAGATATTACGTTGCCCTAACCATTGTGTTACCCCGTCGCCCCGAGCCCTGCAGTTTAATCAATGCCAAAACGCGGGAATGTCTAGAGATGCTTCGGTTGGCAGTGCGGAACGCAAATCAGGCTTTCCTTAAACGTTGATGAAACGGTATTGGTAAAATGACGGAAAAACGAAGTACCTTTAGATCTGCCCTTCAGTAGACCTTTCAAGTTGTTTCTAAACTCGTCAGTGTCAGCCTCAGAAACAGTGAAAACAAACCCTGGATTCCAGTTTCAGGCTGCATAACAGGTTCCTGAAACTATGCTGACCTGTAGAGCTCGCGCTGGCGTGTCGCACATGAATAAAAACACTGACCTGGGTTGAAAATTTCACTGTAGTGATCAGCAGTTCCTCACTTCACGCCTTCTCACCTCACTCTCGGTCGTGCGGCGCATGCGTGTGACCCCACCACGCCCCGCTGTGGCGCTGCACCGACGCACTGCCACTGGACGCGCACAGCCTCACACCCGTCGCACCCGTCAGTCGCACACGGTCGGCCTTGGACGATCTATGAAAGGATGGCGGACTCGTAGAGCGGCCGGATTATCAGAGAACGAACCCGGCCAACAGTCGCCGAGCTGGGCGCACGTAATGCACGGAAAATGGTCCCCGAACAGTTTGACAGCCGCTAGGTGTTGAACAGTTGGGGTGTATCCTGGCGGCTTCCTCAATTAGGGCTGCGGAGTCGGAGTCGATCGGAGTTGACAGTTCTGTCCGGAGTCGAATCCTCAAATCGGAGTTTGAGTCACCAAATTTCATCCGTTTCGAAGCAGGAGTCGTATTCAGCATTGTATGCATAAGCGGTCCATATCCGACGCCTGTTTGGTGGAAAATATTACAATTATTGACCTTTGCACCTTTAACCTTCGCTCCAGTGGGGGGGGGGGGGCATCAATATTACTTTACTAATATTACTTTACTTTATCAGGGCGCGGGTTAAAAAGTTCCCTTTCAAGATTGAGTTTGATTTTGACCTGAGCTACTGACGTCACCAAGGGTCACTTGAGATCCACTTCACAGCGTTGCATCCCCGAAAATTACCAATGAATGAATGGTTACCAGCCGTGTATAACCACCCTCCATCTGTTAAAACGCCAGTCCCAAACCGCAAAGCCTTTTATGAAAGTTCAGAATTTAAAACCAGCGGACGAACTACGCGTTCTTCGGTTGATTCCAGGTATTTCATTAAATATGAAGCATATGCGTAAGGGCAAAGCATACAAAATTCAAATTCACTTGAATTGAGTTAAGCTAGACAAATGACAGTCATCATAATCTGTGCAAACTTGTGGCCCGGTATCCTTCGACGTCCCCTATGCGCGACGCGGGGTATCCATCGATAACTTACACCATCGTTCCAGTCAGCCATGATCGATGAAGACGTGCATTTTTGTACGAATGTTTCCTTATCGTCAAGCCATAGCAGGACTATCTCCTGGCCAGTCCGGCCTATAGAACGACCCAAGAAGTCGAAAAACAGGGGCCGATCCCGGTGTCGATAGCGGCGAAATGCTGCTGAGGATGGGAGCGTGGCGCGTGCCCCGCATACGGCGGCCGGTCGGCCGGGCCGCTCTGGCGATAGTGGACGGTCGGCCGGGCCGCTCTGGCCACAGTGGACGGTCGGCCGGGCCGCTCTGGCCATAGTGGACGGTTGGGGGACGTTACGGCGGCAGCGCGACCCCCCGCCGCGCCGCGCAGGTCCGGTATGTGCCCGGGACCCGCTCAGATTTCCCGGTTAGCACGTGCCCGGTGTATAGGCGCAGTCCCGAGTACAGCGGATGCCGGACAATGTGCATACAAGTGTCAGGAATGTTGGCATTAATATGACAGGGACTATGGCGCCAGCTGACAAGATTTGAGTGGGCTTACCTATAACTACTCCATTGTTTTCTTTGACCGAGATCGAACGTCTTGAAGAAGAATTTTGTCCGGGTACGGAAGATGATAGTGTCATTTTATCAACATGAGTGTTTGTCGTGCCCATGTAGGGCGGTCACCGTCCATCCCACCCGATCGACTATGCCATTTTCCCATCCTAGAACGCACAGGGGGGGGGGGGGTGGTTGCCACCCCCCGCGCGCCATTTCGTTCCTGTTGGAGATAGAGCTTCGCGGTAAAGACCAAAAAGATTCTTTGGGAAGAGGCGAATCCAATGATACCCAGTTTTACCTTCTCAGGTCAGTCATTGACCTTCCAGGTCAGGTCAAACCAAGAAATGTTGCTGTTTTGGGTCACCGTTGGAAATCAAGTGCGCTGGTTATCATATACCGATGACGATGCCGTTTTCTGGTGCCAAGCCAGCTAGAACCTCTTTGTCACACTACCCGACCAGGTTTTTACTGCTGAGGTCATTTCAGGTCAAGTTAGGTCAAGGTCAATGATATGTGTTTGTATGTCTGTGTGTGTCTGTGTGTATACTGATGTGTGTACCGATTGTTTATGTGTCCATATTACATGAAATCATGATCTGAGAAGCACTTACCAAAAATGCAGTCAAAAAACTTCACGAAAAGTAAATTTAGCTTGCCTAAAACGCAATTATTGTAGATGACCTAGGTTGACATTGACCCTGACCTTGACATCTGTACATCGTCGAACAACATGTTTCATGATAGGTTGGAGGTAAGATTGGCAAAAAAGGCCGAAATCAAGGTGTCAAAAGCTCACAAGGCCCATAGCCAACGCAAGATGTTGAGAATTGGTCATTTGAGTCATGACATGACCTGAAAAACAAGGTCATATTTCTGAAACCAAAAACCACAGAAACTTGAAATTTTCAGTGGACATCAAGAAAGGATAGAGGAGCAGCTATACGAAAAATCAGGCTTCTAGCCCCCTAAAAATGTTGAGTGCAGAGCAGAAAGACTGCCTGGGGGTGGCAACCACACCCCCCCCCCCCCATGTGCGGGCGAGGGTTAAAGGCCGACGAAGTCCCCCCAACCGTAGACCATTCTCGTCAGACCATTCTCGTATATACCACGGTATATAGAGATATAGAGAACTCCGTGTACGAGTATAGGTAATGAGTTCCGGAGTGACTCGAACTCGGGCCATGGCCACCGGCAGTTCAATATTCTACCAGCTGGGCTACGGGGAGGATCCGATCAGAAATAATAGAAGATTTCAAATGTCAGAAGTTTCTGACATCGTTTATGTCTAATGTGTATACTTTATCACACATGGCGGCAAGAAACCAGCTTTCCAAATGAATTGAAATCGCAGTGACGTCGAGTGGCTGACTCAGCCCTCGAACCATTAATTCCAGATATGGTCTTCACCATGCAATTCCCTTTCATCCGCGGCACAATATCAACCTGCTCCTCTGTCCCAGCACAATGCTGCCGCGGCGACGCCCTGAACAAGGGACTCAGGCTCCGCTGACCCGGCATATATACGGCGCCGAGGTCTTAATGGCCCGGTCGTGGGTGGAGAGGTCGCTCTTTAGAGCCATTGATAGATGGCCAAATGCGGCTCATAACTGCCCAAATGTATGCCATCGCAGCCTGTTCAGGATGTGAAAACGGATCAAGGTAATATGGTGGGCTGGCTGTACGATAAGCTGCCACAGTCACTCGAAGTTCAAGCGTTGAGTTTGATGTCACAATGAAGCCAGTCTTTAACCCTATTAGTGGCAGGGGGGGTTGTTTTCATCCACCCCTAAGGTTTTTCGGGAATATCTCCGAAACCGCTGAAGCTACGATGCTGAAATTTTCTGACTTTTCCTAAAACTAAATTGGGCACAATCCCTGAAAATTTCAAGTTCATAACTTTACCAGGGGCGGCTCCAGAGCACTGGGAATTGGGGGTCCTATTCGTGAAGCGAGTCATTTGGGCGAAGATCACGATGCTGATGTATTATAACTGTATGCACCAGTTCTACGAACAGTGAATGAAAGGTATAATGTGATAACATATACAAAGTTATTGTGCATCCTCTTTTGACACGTTTTTGCTATAATAGGCGGATCCAGGCGTCCAAAAAGGGGGGGGGGGGGTTATGTTTTACCTCCCAACATAGGTGCCCTGACACCGCTTATGCATGACCAATGCAATTGTAGTCGTTCTCTCATGAGAAAATTGTAACATAACAAGACCATTGCCACCCTTTTTAGAAACAGTACCAACAAAAACCTTATTTACTATACTTTTTGTGTACCCCCAATCTCAATGATCTGTATCCGCCTATGATTTTTGAAAATGCATATTTTTAGGATCCATGTGAATTCCTGGTTCATTCTCTATCGATCGGCAAAAGTTGCGTTAAGATTGGTTCAGAAACCTGGCCGTGATAAACAGTCTAAAATGTCTCTGCAATTTGTCCGTTTTTACCCCCCTCTACCCCCTATTGACATTTTTTAAAATTTTTATTTTTTAGAAATGTAGATCACGTTGAGCGAAATCGAATGCCGTTTGAATTTTGAAAATCGGCCCGTTAGATCTCGAGAACGAGATATCAGGGGGGGGGGGTCGTAAACAGCCCCCCTGCCACTAATAGGGGTAGCCAGGAGCCTGCCACTAATAGGGTTAAGTCATGTCTGATGACAAATATTTGTCAGTGACCAATAGGTAAGAAAGCACCGTTTAAAGTTATATGTATGTACATAGAACATGCTCTTTGCGAACTTAAGCTCCCCTTATTGTCGATAATGGTAAAATCCACATGGCACATATGTACATGTACTTACCGGTGCCTTCTTCTGGTGATACAGATACTCTCCTAGAAAATTGCACAAACACGGCCTGTATCCAGCACGGGAGACGGTACGGACCCTGTGTTCAGCACGGGAGACGGTACGGATACAGCCTGTGTTCAGCATGGGAGACGGTACGGACACAGCCTGTGTTCAGCACGGGAGACGGTACGGATACAGCCTGTGTTCAGCACGGGAGACGGTACGGGTACAGCCTGTGTTCAGCACGGGAGACGGTACGGATACAGCCTGTGTTCAGCACGGGAGACGGTACGGATACAGCCTGTGTTCAGCACGGGCGACGGTACGGATACAGCCTGTGTTCATGCACGAGAGACGGTACGGATACAGCCTGTGTTCAGCACGGGAGACGGTACGGATACAGCCTGTGTTCAGCACGAGACATTGGCTATGTTCAGCACGGCGAATAGAACCAGAGTTCAGCACGAGACATTGTCTATGTTCAGCACGGCGAACGGAACCGGAGTTCTTGTTTACATTTGATAAAATACAATGAACTGAACTGAACTGAACAGCCCGTGCTCAGCACGGCGGACAGCACGGGACACAGCCTATATAGTTCAGCACGGGCCATGGGGCACACCCTGAGCTCAGCACGGCGGATACAGATTACAGAACCTGAGCTCAGCACAGGACATAGTCTGAGTTCAGTACGGGATACAGTCTGAGCTCAGCACCGGACACAGTCTGAGTTCAGCACCGGATACAGTCTGAGTTCAGTACGGGATACAGTCTGAGTTCAGCACGGGATACAGCTCGTGCTCAGTGCTCAGTATGGCGGACAGAACCTGCGTGCTCAGCACGGCGCTTTCACAGCCGATCACTCGCACTGATTAATGACCACAAGTATACCCGGATACATGGCTTAGAACGACCAACCATAAGACAGTTCGGTCCTATCCAAGCAATCTGCTATCAACCAGCC